GTAAAACTTAGGTTGTTTACATATCCACAGAGAATACAACTACTTACATGTACTCCAGGTAGCTCTAGCCTATACCTATCACCTCTTTGAACTAGAAAACTCTTCAATGGCAAAAAGCTTAGCAGAGTTTAAATGGGAAAGGGCTTTACAAGTTCTGTGCCCAATTTAGTTCAATTTTTTATCACTATTTTGTAATTCTGGATAAGTATAGCATGAAAATACAAAGTCTTACAGATTATATATTTAGTGATTTTCAATCTGATTTCTTGATATTAACAGTCCTAAAACTCAATAAAGAACCTCTTCTTACTAAAACTATGATCAGGAGTAGGGCAGCTTTGATCTGAATGGTATGTGAGGCACAAATAAGTCAATAAGTGGTAAATAATCCTACATTAAATACTTATTAATCAAAATTGGCATACTAAGAGTAGGAGATGTGAAATCTTTTGGAAAATATATCCTTTGCTCTGATTGCTTAGTTGAGTACCACAAAAAATGTTTGATTATTTTGTCTTTGACAAAAGTGAACTAATAAAAAAAAAATGCCATAATGGGGGAAAGTAAAATTTTATACTTAGAATGCACAACTATGGTTTTTGGTTAGAATTCGTGCCGAGAACTTTAAAAATGGTAATATATCCATTAAGGTGTATGCAGGTGAAAGAATTTGTTTCTGTCTTCACCCCTTAAAGTAGCTGTAAGATTTTTAGGTAGATCACCATAGGAGTGTGCCTTCTCTGTACAGAGGCAGGTTCTAGTGAACACATCATCTGCTTAATTGGCCAATTAGCTACCATTATGGGTTAGGTAAGTTTTATTCTTTAGAATAATAGATGAGTGCATCTTTTAATCTTAATTTTACAAATGATGTCACATAGTGTGGAATATGTATATTGGCAAAATTCGTTCCAGTACAAGCTCAAGCTTGTAACTTTTTGTTAGATTGTTTTGTTTATTGGATTTTGTCTGTGTGTTTTCGGAGGTCTGAGGTGGAAATTGTAGGCTAGCATAACAGATGGAGGCTTCTTCAGGGAAACATAAACACATTTAATTCCTTTTACAGCCTAACAGTCCCAGTGAATACTGTTTTGACGTGGATAGTGATATGGTCAATGTATTCAAGTTGGAATTGGTGGAGAAACTTTTTGCTGAAGACACAGAAGCAAAGAATCCATTTTCAACTCAGGTATATGGATTTGTTTATTTTGTAATAAGTTTAATTAATTTGTAGTCTAAAGTGACTAAACTTATTTTTCTTTTACAAGGTATGACCATTGTAAAAGTTCACGTATTTGTTGTTTTAAAGGACACTGATTTAGACTTGGAGATGTTGGCCCCCTATATCCCAATGGATGATGATTTCCAGTTACGTTCCTTCGATCAGCTGTCACCATTAGAAAGCAGTTCTTCAAGCCCTCAAAGTGTGAGCACAATTTCAGTATTCCAGCAGACTCAAATTCAAGAACCTACTATTAATACCACCACTGCCACCACTGATGAATTAAAAACAGTGACAAAAGATGATATGGAAGACATTAAAATACTGATTGCATCTTGGTCTCCCACCCATGCACCTAAAGAAACTACTAGTGCCACAACATCATCATATAATGATACTCAAAGTCGAACCGCCTCACCAAACAGAGCAGGAAAAGAAGTCATAGAACAGACAGAAAAATCTCATCCAAGAAGCCCTAACGTGGTATCTGTCACTTTGAGTCAAAGGTATTTATATGTAACATTGAAGTTATAGTTCTTCTGTTATATTATAGTTCTTTTATTATACTATAAATGTGTGATGTTACATGATTTGTAAACAGAGCACTTGCATGGCATATATGAGGCTCTGAGTTTAGTGGCTAGTATTGAATAAAAGTTGCTCTTATTTTTCATTGGATATTTGTACAACATTAGCTATTTATAGGTTAAATGGTTTTTTTTTTTTTTTTAAGGTGAGGTGGGAGGCCTGTATCAAGAATCCTACAGTGACTTTAGCATTGCTTCTATGGAATGAAGCAATGTTTGAGCATATATGTGGCTATAATCTAATTTTTAAGTTATAGCTAGGTGTGGTGGTGCACACCTATAATCCCAGCCATTCAAGAGCCAGGTGGGAGTATTGCAAGTTCAAGCCTAGCCTCAGCAACTTAGGGAGGCCCCAAGCAACAATGAGAGACTCTATCTCACAACAAAATGGGCTAGGGATATGGCTCAGTGGTAAAGCACCCCTGGGTTCAATCCCCAGTACCAAAAATTTTTCTGTATGTAAATTGTAATTGGATTTGACATGTTTTAAATTTAACTATAATTAGAGGAAAGAGGTTTTAGGTAGTCAGTATAGAGAAGAAAAGTGATTGCTTTACTATGTCTAGACTGAACCAGCTATCAACAGCAATAGGAAAGAACTACCATAACCAGAGTATATGCCCTTCTTCCCCTGTCCTGCATCCTACCTTGACCTACAATGCCAGGAAAAAAATCTGGGGGCTTTAGATTTAAATTCAGAAATAGTTTACAAATTATTATAACAATGACTGACTTCCAACCCTGAGCTCCACTAGGGCAATGTCAGTGTCTTGGGCATTTGAGTGATAGTAATACTTAGCTCAGTTCCTGACAGATAGTTCTTGCTTGCTGGAGTGATAAAATGGATATAATAATATAAATGATAATATCCTGTTGTTTACTGCATACTATCAGCTATAGAAGATGGGATATTCAATTTTCTGATCAACTATTCCTTGAATTTTTAGTTGTCAAAACCAAATCTAGGGGTTGGAGTTATAGTTCAAGTGGTAGAGCTCTTGCCTCGCACATGTGAGGCACTGGATTCAATCCTCAACACCACATAAAAATAAACAAAGTATGGGCTGGGATTGTGGCTCAGTGGTACCTCAATTGCCTCACACAGGTGGGACCCGGGTTCGATCCCCAGCACCACATAAAAATAAAGTCATTATGTTGTGTCCATCTACACCTAAAAAATAAATATTTTTTAAAAATAAAGCAAACATTTAAAAAATCTAATATCGGATCACTTAGTTCTATAACATTAGCTCCAAAATCATGGGTACACTCGTAACTTTCAAGTTTATATGGAGGCTTTTTTCTCCCTCCTTGTTAGGTAATTATTTACAAAATCAAAGTGCTATACTAAACCAGAATATTTGTAGTTTTAGAGTGAGAATTAAAGATAAATTACTAAAAGTACTACTACTAAGTACTTACATGATGACTGAGTTATGTTTCATAAATATAATATATTTATAAGAGTTTTAAAACCTGCCTGTCTATAGACTAGAGATTTTATACAATTTTTAACAGAACAAAATGCATATAGAAAGGGAGTTAGAGTGATATTGCTTACCTATTCGCATTCTATCTGGACAGACCAAGGAGCCATTATGATATATATTATGAGAGGGAGGGGTTCTAAAAAAGCCAAAATAAATGTAACCCACATATTTGGCTCTTTATTACAATTCTTCACCACTTAATATTACATACTGGTAGCACAGGTTTGATAACCAAATCAATTCTAAGGGCAAAATTAATAATAATGAGAAGGCCAATGGAGGAAAGGGTGGATCTGGAGATCTGGAGTGTACTTCCATTTGTGCAACTAATTAACAGTGGGACTCTGACCAACTTACCTAATAGGCTTCAGGTTTCTTAATTATAAAATAACACCTGTCATACATACCTTAGAACTGGAGCAAGTTTAAAATGAAGTAATGAATATGAAATATTTTAATAACTGAAACACTAGACAAGTGTGAAATCAATCTTACATTACAGTAATCCTGAGAATATTGGTGTATTCTTAATTAAGTGGAAAAAAGGCTAGTTCCTAACTCTTTTATCTACAATAATGTCAACTGAATTTTGTTTGGTTCTACTTCATAAAATAGGGTTATAAGAGCTGGGGATGGGGGCTGGGGATGTGGCTCAAGCGGTAGCGCGCTCCCCTGGCATGGTTGCGGCCCGGGTTCAATCCTCAGCACCACATACAAACAAAGATATTGTCTCTGCCGAAAACTAAAATGTAAATAAAATATTTTTTTTAAAAAAAGCTGGAAATGTAGTCCAGTTGGTAGAGCACTTGCCTAATGTGTGAGGCTCTGGGTTCAATTCCCAGAATGGCACCCCTTCTCCAATTTTCTTTTTTAAGAAATAAAATAGGGTTACATACGGTTTAGAAAATTTTCTGTTGTAAAAAGTGAGCTTCTGAGTGAGGGGGATAGCTCAGTGATCTTGTATTATGCACAAGGCCCTGGGTTAAATCCCTAGCTTTTGCTTTTAAAGTGGTAAATGTTAGCAGTCAGGAAAGTTCCATTATGTACACAACATTATATTCCTTAATGTTGGAAACTAGGGCATATTATGCATTTTGTTTAAAAGAGCTTGATAGATATTTTATCCAGAACATTTTCTTTTCCAGAAATACAGTTCCTGAGGAAGAATTAAATCCAAAGATATTAGCTTTGCAGAATGCTCAGAGAAAGCGAAAAATGGAACAGGATGGTTCACTTTTTCAAGCAGTAGGAATTGTAAGTGTGAGAGTAACATGTTGCTTTTCTACTCTAGCTAATGTGCTACTTTCAAGTTATATATAGGCAATTTAAGAAGTGATACATTGGGCTTTCTTATTTGATACACACTAATTTTTAAAAATACAGTTAATAAATGCATTATTGGAGTAAAAATTCTAAACAATACAGATAAATTCTGAGTAATAAATGAAGTTCTCACATTTCTCCACTCTAGATATCACCTCTGATCTCATTTTCTTTGTGTTATTCTCCCTTATTAGTAAAAACCACTGTGTAATAATGAATAGCAAATGGCTTTACCATAGTTATTATTAGGAGAAAGAATAAAAATAATATAGGGCAGTATTTAAGAAACCTGCCTATATGTTGCTATTAAACTTAAATGCATTTCAAAGTCTAATTGTAAAAAAAAAAATTCAACATAATAAACTTGAAATAACTTACTCTTTTTAGGGTACACTATTACAGCAACCAGATGATCGTGCAACTACTACATCACTTTCTTGGAAACGTGTAAAAGGATGCAAATCTAGTGAACAGAATGGAATGGAGCAAAAGACAATTATTTTAATACCCTCTGGTTAGTTTGTTTTGCCCTCAAACATCACAAAGACAATTATAATAAATGAAATTTTTTTTTTACCAGGAGCTTTACTCCAAGTGAGAGTGATTTAGATTCCTTAGCAAAATGGAAAAAGTAAAGTGTAATAGCATTTAATCTACTGACTGTATTTAGGGTAGATACATCAAGATGGAACTTTCACTCTGTAGTAATTCTTTCTGATGTATCTAGCTTTATGTGCTATCAATATTGATAGAAGAGAAAGCTTATGAATTCTTTTACCAAACTGATTTATCACTTTTCTATGCCCTCATTGTCTCCTGTAAATATTTCTGATATGGGACTGGGGTTATGGCTCAGCGGTGGAGTGCTTGTCTGGCATGTGCAGGGTCCTAGGTTCAATCCTTGGCACCACATAAAAATAAATAAAATGAGGGTATTCTGTCCAACTACAACTAAAAAATAAATATTTTTTTTTAAAAATTTCTGATCTAGCACCAATAATACTTGACTGCATTTATTTGTTTACGTTGCTGTGGTTTTGGCCAAATGACTAAAAACCCATCCAGAAGTTTGTTTTATTTTCCCCCAAACCTAATGCATAGTGGAAGTTTAATAAATTTAATGAATACTTGTGTATTTCTTTCTTTTTTAGATTTAGCATGTAGACTGCTGGGGCAATCAATGGATGAGAGTGGATTACCACAGCTGACCAGTTATGATTGTGAAGTTAACGCTCCTATACAAGGCAGCAGAAACCTACTGCAGGGTGAAGAATTACTCAGAGCTTTGGATCAAGTTAACTGAGCTTTTTCATGATTTCATTCCTTTTTGTTTCTTTTTCTTTCTTTCTTTTTTTTTTTTTTTAATTTTTTGGACACTGGTGGCTCATTACCTAAAGCAGTCTATTTATATTTTCTATATCTAATTTTAGAAGCCTGGCTACAATACTGCACAAACTCAGATAGTTCAATTTTGATCCCCTTTCTACTTAATTTACATTAATGCTCTTTTTTAATATGTTCTCTAATGCTAGATCACAGACAGCACATTTTCACAGATCTTTGGTGTTTGAACCATTGCATTGTAGTAGCATCATTTAAAAATGCACCTTTTTATTTATTTATTTTTGGCTAGGGAGTTTGTCCCTTATTGATTTATTTTTAATAAGATGCCAATATAATTTTTTAAGAAGGCAGTAACCTTTCATCATGATCACAAACAGCTGAAACATTTTTACTCATTTTTCACATTTTACATAAACAATAATGCTTTGCCAGCAGTACATGGTAGCCACAATTGCACAATATATTTTCTTAAAAAGTACCAGCAGTTACTCATGCAATATATCCTGCATTTATAAAACTAGTTTTTAAGAAGAAATTTTTTTTGGCCTATAAAATTGTTAAACCTGGAACTTGACATTGTTAATCTTATAATAATGATTCTTAAATGCTGTATGATTTATTATTTAAATGGGTAAAGCCATTTACATGATATAGAAAGATATGCATATATCTGGAAGGTATGTGGCATTTATTTGGATAAAATTCTCAGTTCAGAGAAATCATCTGATGTTTCTGTAGTTACTTTCCCAGCTGAAAAGAAAACAATACCCTATGTAGTTGTGGAAGTTTATGCTAATATTGTGTAATTGATATTAAACCTAAATGTTCTACCCATTCTGTTGGTATAAAGATTTTGAGCAGACTGTAAACAAACAAAATCATGCATTGTTAGTAAAATTGCCTAGTATGTTAATTTGCTCAAAATATGATGTTTGGTTTTATGCACTTTGTCGCTATTAACATCCTTCTTTTTTCATATAGATTTCAATGATTGAGTAATTTAGAAGCATTATTTTAGGAATATATAGTTGTTGTAGTAAACATCTTGTTTTTTTCTATGTACATTGTATAAATTTTTCATTCCTTTGCTCTTTGTGGTTGGGTCTAACACTAACTATATTGTTTTGTTATATCAAATAAACATCTTCTGTGGACCAGGCCCCCTTTGATTAGCTTTTATGTTTAAATAGTATTTGCATCATCTCCAGCCCATGAAATTGTTTCCTAACAATTTAAGTACTTTATGAAAATTACATTGTACGCTTCTGCATTTATCTCATTGCCATTATCTTAATGTATGTTGTGTCCCTAAATGTCATGTTAACTAATAACCATAGTATTACATTGTAAAGAGTATGTTTTTAGAAAAGAAAACTGCAGTTTGTAAACTTATGAGCCTATTAAAGTGTAAAACACAAAATTTTAATATTTTTAGTATAAATGAAATGAGTGAAGCAAATCATGGACATTGTAATCAAATAATATTGTAAAGGTTAGTGGTTCCTCTAAAGATTTCTAATCTATTCCCATTAACAGATGAAAAAGTTTAGACCACAAATGATGAATGATTTGCTCAAGCCATAAAAGTAATAAATGTAGACCAAAGATTTAGCTTAGAGCTTCTGAATCTAATGTTAAACATACAACAAACATTAGTTGTTTTTGTTTTAATCATTCTGTATTTTGATTTTAAATAGCTTTCTTTCTGCTATGCTTTTCTTGTATAAAACAGCTATTTCTTTTACAGTTTCTTTTTTAAAAAAAAAAAACATAAGTATAGAAAGATATGAAAATAAGACAAAAATCACTGTTAATCTCTGCACCTAAAGGTAACAGAAAGTGCACACATGCGTGTGTTGCTGGGGATTGAACCCAGGCACAAATACAAATAAGCACTCTACCACTGAGCTATATACTGAGTCCCCCAAATTTATTTATATTGATAAATTACATGGGCTGTGCCAGAGCCCTAGGTTCTTTATCTTGAGGTATGTATCCTGAACAAGATGAACTAGCTATAGATCTCTTAAATAGCTGTTCTTAGAACGGGACAACTACATGAAAATTTGGGAACAAAAGTTCACAATACTGATATTAAATCCAGAACTTTGGGGACATAGATATAATTCACCCCCAATACTATGACCCAGCATACTTCTCATTTAGTAACAGATATTACCAGAGGTGACACTTTAGAGTAAAGTAGTTGCTTAATATTCCCAGATCACAAAATTTTAGAATTATGCTTATTGATTAAGAAAATTTGTTTCAGTTGAAAACTAGAAGTTTATAATTTTCAAATGTAAATAAATGGGATTACTACACAACAGGCCAGAAGTCTGGAAAAATGACCTGTGAGGACAGTGATTTAGAAGGGAAAGCCATGTTAAAGAACAGGTGAGCTAGAAGAAAAGTACTAAGTGCTCAGTTACTAAAAAAAAAAAAAAGACTTTTTTTTTTTTTTAGTAACTGAGTGCTCAGAACCATGTAAACACAACTAGCACTTCCTTCCCAGCACTGTATGCCATCAGGAATTTCTTTATAATGCCTTCATCCAAAGAGTATAACCCAACAATGTCATTTTATCCTTATATTCCTCTCTCCTCCCTATATGTCTATGCTTTCTATCTCTTTTCTGATGCAATGAATGAATGAATGACTTTAGTATTACTTTCATCCTGAGGAAAGTGTGGCAGAAGGGATTAGCATATTTTGTTCATCTGTTACTGTTAAGTGTAGAACTGAAACTAGTTACTGAGCAAACCTACTACTGCCAGGTACAGTGCTCATAGATTAAAATGACTCTAACATCTGTTGAATACACCAGACTTTGTGCTAAGCATTTTGCTTGTTATCTCACACTCTTCACAAATCCCTATGAATTAGTACTTGTATCTCACTTTGTACATTTGAAAGTCTTGGGAAAGTTGGCCCAATGTTCAAAGCTGCTGAGCAGGCCATCAGTGATTCCAAAGCCCATGGTGCTAACCACCATGCAGAAAGTACTAGTCACTCCAGTAGGACAAATCCTTGTCCCCCATTTTCAACTGTTCAAATAGTAAATGGGGGAAAATAAAGGGAGTGTATAAAACTGAAGGCCATTTGTCACTTGGAATTGAGGTCACCCAGGACATTGAGGGATGTCCTAAAAGGAGTGGCATGACATATGTAGAATAAAATTATTTCAAAGAGTTATTTAGTGGGTTTGGGGTCTGAACTAAAGATTCAGATTCCAGATTATAGAGACATTATTAACTCACTGGTAAACAAGGTGTAGTGTGTGGGAAAGCATTTGAACTATAAAAGGCTGTTACGTATGGTATGGTGGACTTAATGGCATAACAGACATGTTCGTTTTCATTTGGCTTGTATAACCTCACAATTAACCCTTCCAATCTTGATTTCCTCATGTAAACATCCAAGAGGTTTGAAAGATAAATTTAGTTACCAGCTTTGCAGAAACATACATTCTAAAAGGTAAGAATTTTAATGTAGCAATGTCAAAAACAAGTTACAAAGAATATGAAATATTTTTTTAACTTTATAATTTGATTAGATAAAACCTTTGCATACATGTTGCTAGCGGGAACCAAGGAAAATGTAAAGAAGAAAAACCTTATTGGGGTGTTTTAAGTTTGCCACTAACCTCCTTGCTCATTTCTTCCCTTTACATAGCGCTGAACCTGTTATCCATATTATTTCGCGTTTAAAGCAATGTGTAGAATCTAATTCGACATAATTTCCTGTCGGATAAAAGCTACACTTGACCACAAACCTTACTATCATCGCCTTCTGGAGTTTGTTGTGTTCACACCTTCCAGAGGTTTGGACAAAATGTTTATTCTTACCTTTAATTGATGGTTTTTATCCAGGATGGTGCCAGACACCCGATCTCCGTGTACTATTTTAATTTCCTTCCCGGCTCCATTCTGGGACGGAGAGAAAGGCAGGTGCCTGAGAGCGGCTGTGGCCTGAACCTCGGCGAGGAAAACACCAAGCACGCGGAAGGAACGCGGCTCGCTCCTGCTCCCGGCGCCGCCGGTACTACTACATGATGAGGATGCGAAACGCTAGCCGCCAGGAGAAACTTCCGCAAGCCCCGCCCTCCGCCCTGCCGGC